TTACTAATCTCTTGTTGTTTAACAAATAATTATGTATATATATAACAACTCTTAATCATTATCAATTATGGAAAAAAAATATTTTACTTTCAGACCTTTTGAAAAAAATATATATGTGAAAAAAATAATTTAATAATGAAAGAAAAAAATAAATTAATTTTTGGATGTACACGTAAAAATACAAATAATTAAATTAGTACTCGGTAATACATAATTGTATAAACAAGCAATTTAGAGAAGAATGAAACTCTTTTCAATTAACTTTAAAGAATAAAAATGAAGAGAGACCACCGACACGGGTACAATAAGAAAGTAGTATATAAAGTGCACAAGTTTTGCGAGAAAGTTAATTTTCGTGTGTTTTATGCATGAAAATTTTGTTGGAAACTATTTTTGAAAACTAGTGTTTCAAGTGTGAATAAAACTTATCTACAACTAATTTATAATTGGGTGCTTATGTGTATCACTTTAGACAGCAACGTAAATATCTTAATGTAAATGTTGCATTGCAAAGTCCAAAATTCAGGTTATTTAATATAACCTCTACCGATTATTTACCGTGTTCTTAATGTTTAATGTGGTTGAGGATTGGCTAGAAACGGTTAATAAATTATAAGAATGCATTCGATTACAATACATGCGTGAATGGGTGAGTTGGTTGAAAATGTACAATCAAACAGACATAACCTATTCAATATGAACCATTGCAACTTATTGGAGTGGATGTGTCTATTGGTAAATAGACACCATGTGAACCATTACAATCAATTGGAGTGGTTGTGTCTAATGATGAATATATACATATAAATGGTTATATCCAATGATGAAATGATACACCCAATTCGAAAAAGCACTTATATTTATATAAATACCCCCTTTGCTGCTATTTGCAATTCGTTCAATTCATTTTTTTTCTCTCTCCCTCTCTAGACATGAACCCAATTCAAGTAGGTTCATACCATAGGTCAAGTGGTCTGAGTCATTTAGATTATAATTCAATTTCATCGAGCCATATTAAGATTGGTCCGAACCATTTGGTTCGGATTGCACCCAATTTAGCATTTACATAGTATATAAATGCATTTTTGAGTCAGAGAGAGTATTACATGGAGGAGGTTTGTCGTATCCACGAGTGTTGTAGTGCTACTACCGGTGGATGTAGACCGTTGTATCTTGGGAGAAAAACGCCACAGAGTCCGTCAGCACCTTGCGGGGCGTAAATTGTCTTAAGGACAAAGTATTCAATACTAACCTTGGTTCAATTTATTTATTTATTTATTATTATTATTATTATTTTACTTTAATTTGCATGTTTAATTAAATATCGAGTTGAATATTTAATTAATTATTTTTAACATATTATTAATTATTTAATGGCATATTAATATAAGGTTAGTTATATCTTAAATATTATATGAATCATATATTTACCAACAAAATTTTGGGAAAAATTTTCAAATGCGGGAATCTTATTTTCCCCAAAACTTTCACTTTCCCTTTAAGCAAACTTCTAAAAATTAAAATATTTTCTTTTCTGGTTACTTGACATTAACCAAATGGACTCTCAATGATTATAAAATGATAATTATATACTGCATTATAATATATTATTATAATATAATAGTATTATTAACTTTTAACGCTCAAAATTATTTTTTTAGTGTCAACAAATGAATTTAGGGGAGATCAAAATAATAAACGGTGATTTACCCAAACCTCAAGGGAGATAAGTATAATTTACCCTAAATTTAACTACAATAATAATAAAATTATACAAACTTTACTCACCAATAAAAGTGATTAAATTCACAATTTAAATTTCTAATTTAAAAGTAAATGTTGTGAAATTCACAAATTAAATTTCTACTAAGATCTCCATCATCTTTAGTACTCATCAAAAGGGTCCTGGCTTAATTTCAAAGCGTGAAAAATTATAATTTTTTTTTTGGACAATACTTAGATCCTTAGTAGTGAGGATCTACACTATTCTCACTGCTTTATGTGATCCAATGAAAAGAAGATAATACTTAGATCCTCACTACTGAGGATCTACACTATTCTCACTGTTTTATGTGGTCCAGTGAAAAGAAAACACGTCCTATTTTATTAAAAATGTCAGAAATAAAATACACCGGATCTTACCCGAATGAGATTGGGTAAATGGGTTTAGTGAATTTTTTTTCTTCAAGGGTTCAACATGACTCTTTGGTTCTCTCACTTTTCGGCACTGCCTTTAGCCCTCTCTCTTAACCATCTTCTTCTTCTCAAGCTTCTAGTCCTGGAAGCAAGAATATTTGAAAGGGGTATGATCTTCTTCTTCTTCTTCTTCTTTTATTTTATTTTATTTTTTATTTTTATTTTTATTTTTTTCACATTTAGGGTTCCTTTCCTAGAAGAGGGCTTTCCATGAAAGATTATGTGTTAGATTTAAGGATCCACATACATATCAACACAAAAGCCTGATTTTTCCTGAGATTACGTCACTCAGATTTTTTATTTTCTCCCAAAAATCTGATCTGTTTCTCTCTTTTTTTTCCTTTTTTTTTTTTTTTTTGGTTATTTAAATGCTGATTTTTTATTCATGAAAAAAAAAATAATGAAATTTGGAAGAAGCTGAACAGTGAGGCCAAAGATCAGTTTGTTGCTTTTGTCAAGGAGTAGAAGCTTGAGAGGAAGAAGATGGTGAAGAGAGAGGGTTAAAGGCAGCCGGAAAGAGAGAGAATCAGAAAGTGACTTTGAATCCCTTGAAAAAAATATATATTATATATATATGTGTGTGTGTATCACTGAACTCACTTTACCCGATCTCATTCGGGTAGGATCCAGTTTTTTTTTTAATTTTATTTTTTGACCTCTTTAATAAAAGAGGATGTGTTTTCTTTTCATTGGACTACATAAACGGTGATGATAGTGTAAATTCTCACTAGTGAGGACTTAAGTATTGTCAATTTTTTTTTTTTTTTTTGGTTCTAAAATTCTTTTCCCTTTTCAAAATTCATGGACATGCATTTTTTGAAATTTCAAAACTACACATTTAAAGTTTAAAATCCATACCATTATTTAATAAAAGTTTTCAAACATTGGGTTGAAAAATTTACTGACTTTTCTGCATGAATTTTGGAACATTTAAAACAAAGAAAAAAGAAAAAGGATAATACGTAGGTCCTCAACCGTGAAGATCCTCACTAGACCAATAATAAATAGATACATTAGGGATGCACACGATCCGATTTGGTTCAATTTTAAAGATTTTTGAGCCATGGAACTGAACCAGCCCAAATCGTGAAAAAACGGTTTGACTCGATTCGATTTCACAATTTTAATTGAATTTTATTTTCCTATTTTTTCCCCTTAGAATTGTATATATAACAAAAATAAAAATAAAAGCATTCACATTCCCAAATCCAAGACTAAAATAGAGAGAGAAAAAGAGAGAAAAATAGGTGAAATAGACCCAAAAGCTAAACCCTAGAAATTTAAATAAGGTTAAATCTTGTTGAAACTGAAAATGATGACAAATACATGGTTGAAAATTAAGAAACTTTATTCGTTGTTGTTGTTGGTTGTGCTTGAGGCGCAAACACGCCATGAGATTCAGAGATATGTGAACTAAAAGTGAGGGAGAATGGGAGAGAGTGGGACAAAGGATGTCATTGACGACAGCGATAGAAGATCGACGATGGTGATCGAATTTCGAAGGTTGCGTGAGAGAGATTTATCAACAACTAGATCCCGCGACGATGAAAACTAAGAAGTGAATGAGGTGGCGTGAACAAAGAAAAAAATGAGATAGTGGAGGAATGTTGGCACACACCCAAAAATCAAAACATTGGGAAAAGCAAAAACAAATTAAAAAAAATCAGATGGAGATGAATGTTGGCTCACGTTTGATCATTGTGCCGAAATCCCTTAGTATATTATATATGGTATAATATAACATATATATAAATATATACATCTTATAACGGTTCGGTTTCGACTGGTCTTGTAGGACCCTAATTCAGGACCGAACAAAAAATTCACAGTTTCATTATTTTAGAACCATGACCAGACTGAGCCGCAATGGAACCGACCTAGGCCGCTCGATTCGGTCCGATTTGATTTGATTTTTCAGGTTGACTATATTTTTTTTGAATACCCCTAAATACATCCTCTTTCATTACCAAATCAGAGATGAAGTACATACTTGCTTATCAAATCAAATATAGTGAATACACGGTACATAAACCATCTTTAATTTGATAATAAAAAAATAAATGTCCATTTTTTATTAATCCATAAAGACTTAAATATTTTCTATTAAAATTTTTTAATAAGGATGGCAAACCACACTTTGGCCGTAGTGTTGGCCCCGAGAGCAATGCTCTCATGTGGGTCCACACTCTCATGTGCTTGGTCCCACTGAGATGCTCTCCGCCCAACACTTCGGCCTAAAAAATATACACTAAAAGTGCATTTAGACAACAGAATGTCTTGTACACCCAGAAAATATTTAACCGTAACACCACATACTCTTTACCTCTAGCAAACAAAACAGAATTGACGCGAAAATATGAACACATGGTGTAAACATACATAGACAATTATCAGTTATTGGATTTTCAGAAGCTAATCCCAACCTAATATGTTGGTAAACAGATGCTGCTGATCGAAATGTTTGATTTAAATAACGAAATGAAACGAAAGAACCTTGGACGTCCCTGAACTATAGAGCATAGTAAATGCATGTTACAAGAGTGCATACATTCAACACTCAACACTATATCACTAACTAATCCCTTTGACATCATCAAACAAACGACTAATTCAAAAGTGGAGAGTGTAAACACACATATTATATCAAACTTTTCCAGAATTACCTGGTATATTTTAAAATTGCATCACCGTCCCTGTATCACTATATTAACCATTTTCAGAACCATAACTATCGTTGCAACGGATTTTAAAAAAAAAAGGCGCACACATAAAGAGAGAGTAACAAATTATTTACCGATTTTTTTTTTTTTTAATTTACTGAAAAAAGACAGAGTAACAAATTAAAGGAAAATAGAGATCAAAATTTTAACGTTTGAATGGATTAATTACTTTGTTATTCCACTTGCTCGGCTCCTCCATTCACCGACCATTTTGATGGATTAAAAGTGAAAATGCACACTGCATGTTTATGGCTGCTATGACCTCCTCCCAATTGATGCTGCTGGAGTAGTGCGAATTAAGTCTGTCATTCTCTGGATTATGTCTTCAAATGATGGACGTTGTTCCGAGTTGCTGTTTTTTATTTGAAGAAACAAAATGTCAATGGCAATTCTTACTTGCAAGTTATAAAATAAAATGAAACATGATTAGAAAATTACAAAGATACCTCTGCCAGCAGTCGCGGATGATGGATGATGTTCGGGGATCAAGGCCTTCCGGTATGTCTAACCTGCGGTCCATGAATCCCACAACTCCAACAACCTTTCAAAATAAAAGACAAACGTTTTAGTTAAGCAGATAATTCCCTTTGAACAATATTGCTGTTGACAAAGTATGAGCATATATGGCCTTCCAGTTTTAGAATATTAGGAGAAAATGCATTCTCCAGAGAGAGATACCTGCAAGCAATTCAGGTTGACCCAAGGAATAGATTCAGTCATTAGCTCCCATAGAATGACGCCAAAACTAAAGACATCGGACCTGTTCATCGTTAGAACAACAACTTGCATTAGCAAAACCTTCTCTTGTGCACACTCATAACCAAACACAAAATCCACAAAGAAAACATCAAAAACCCTATATTCCATTTTGTCAAAATACATGCAATTAAATGACTAGAGATTGCAACTGTTTAACCATTGGGACTTGGGAAACTACTCAAACGAGATCTAGACGGGTTCCCAAATTAAAAAATATATATAAAAATAAATGAATTTAAAAGCACGGTTTTGGGAGATTACTTTTCATTTGAAGGTTCATTTCTAAGGACTTCAGGAGCCATCCACTGAGGCTGCATCAAGCACAATGGAAAAAGGAAGAAGTCAAGGAATGTCTTTCAAGTATAATTACCGCATACACTAACATAGATGCAATGCAACAGGTAAGAGATAGGTCTATTAAATTTTGTAATTAAAGAATTCTTAAGAAAAATGAAATAGAAGAAAGCAAAGTGATGAGATCTCTACGGTTCCTCTTCCGGATTTCGCTGTTAAGAAAGTTGCATCCTTCAACTTGGACAGACCAAAATCTCCAACCTGACACAATTAAAATGACTTGTCTGACTGATTAATTCAATCCACTAAATCTGTAAAGTAATTTGAAGGCATTTCATTACAAATCACCTTGACTGTCCAGTTTCTATCCACAAGCAGATTTGAAGATTTCAAGTCCCTATGTACTATTGGTGGGTTTCTGTGGTGCAAATAATTCATTCCTCTTGCCTGCAGCCCAAAAATAAATAAATAAATAACTGAAAAGCTCGACAACAAGAGAGAGCGCAAAGGTGGTGAAATGACCCTCAAGTCCCAAGTGACAAAGTACAAAAGGAAAAAAAGAAAAAGCTTATGCTTTGGAGCAGAAAAAACGGACAACGTCAAGAGCCATCCTTAGACGTCTTCGGAGGTCCAGTGACTGGTTATTCTTATGAAGTGTTTTCAAGAGGCTTCCCCTGACCACATGAGAAAAAAAAAAAAAAATGTGATATAATATTTCCGAAAAACATGTGGGAGAAACTGTCCCTCCCATAGCACCAACCAGATGCCAACTCTCTAAAGAAACAAAAAAAGGGGCTGGGGGGGGGGGGGGGAGGGGAGCACACTTAAATCATCATTGAGAACAAGACAAATGTATTACAATTACCTCGGTAAGAACTCTGTAACAATGGCAAGTTTTTCCTGTGAGTATACTGCCCCCATGAACAGCAATACATTTGGATGTCTCAGTCTTCGCATTATATCTATCTGAGAGAATATTAATCGAGATATTTGGATTAGGCATTTCCTTTTCACAAATAATATATACAAACAGCTAACAGTTTGTTGAGAGCATCATATACCTCTTTTTTGTAGTCAAGTGAAGTCCACTCAGTGTACTCGTTTCCAAAATAAACCTTAACGGCAACATCCTGATGAACACAAACAATAAATTAATAATGCAACACCATATGAGCATATTGATTCATTTTTCTAGTTTGAAATAAGAATATGAAGAGTATATGACTTTAAGAATTCACCGATCCGTTCCAAATTCCATGATATACAACACCATATGAACCTGGAAGGCAAAAACAAATGATGTTATGTGATAAATGAGCTCAAAATTCTAAATCTGAACTAAAATGGAAATAATAATATGCTGTTTGTATTGTATTAGATAGTATCTGATCAATGATGTGTCTTTGACTTTTTCTAGCAGTTATGGATCCACTTTCCACGGACCGAACCTAGCACATTTTACTGTATAGAAGAGTCTGTATATGCTTCAAACAAATGAAGGATATAAGGAATACAAGTTTTCTCAAATTTACCTTGCCCGACCTCCTCCCGAAAATGTATGTCTTCCCAGCGAATTTCACAATCTACCACTGTGCTTGACCCATTATCACCTTTCCTTGATGGACTTCCATGGCTGCTACCAATGCTCTCCCCTGAGCTTGGAATGGTTTGACCATCTGGCTGTTGTTGCACTGCATCTCCTATCTCCAGAACTTTTGGATTATGTAAATCTGGCTCCAACTCATTTGCATCCAGTTGGAAGCCTAATCTTGGCAACTCATCTCCCACTTTGAACTCCTCAGAACACTCCTTGCACTCTCTCGAAAAGGTTTCAATAGAAGAACTCTCTTTGAAACCTTCAGGAATTTTGTGCCCATTTACATTTGTACACACTCTTTTAGCGGCAAATGGAGACTGGGAATTTCTTTTGTGGGGGTTCACCCCCTCATACTCAGCATCAACAGTAGTGCACCAGTATGAAGTTGTTGCCTTTAAACCTCTAGGATAATTTCCCTCAACATTCACTTCATTTCTCACTGCAGTATCAGTCAAATCGCAATGTTGAACGCTTTCATCCTGTTCTTTGTAATGGTTTCCAGTTCCCCCTATTTGCAACTTTGACATCACCTTCGCTGCCTACAGGTATCCCGGATAAGTAGTTTAAGAAGCCAAATGAACAGCATATATAGGAAGAAAGTCAGATGTTATAGTCATTATTATCTACTTTTTCTAACATCAAATTTCCCCTGAAATACACAGATATCATTTCCAGTTTTTCTGGAAAATCTTCACCAAATTGATAACTGAATCGAAAACCCCATGGATTCTCTGCATGAATGATTCCTGAAAACTAAATTTTTCATTACGACAAGTACAAAGTTTATCTTTGAAGTAAGGGAAGCAATAAGTACAATTTTAGAAGGTTGAACAAATTTGAAGGTAGACTTGTCCTTTTGAGGGTTATCCTCATCGGTTGTGCTCTTCCTGATGCGTGAACTGAAACCAGGCTTTGTTTCCTGGAAAATAATGATCTTCTTTTATTATCAAATCTAAGTAGATTTAGCTATCGAGTCGAGAATTACCGGAACTTTAGGCGGCCTCTCTAATTTTACATCTTCTGCCTCTGCTAGAGTATCCTCTCTGTCCTTGGAATTTGTGCATCCGCTGTCTGTATCATCCCCTTGTTTCCGTGGTAGAACCTTTAAGGCCTGATTGGTTTAACAGAACAAGTATAAAAACACTCATTCACAACCAGAACAAAAGGAACAGGAAGTAAATGGAACACAAATATAATAGTCTAAAACATGAGCACCAGATTGGATAGAGAAGATGTGATCTGTGGCTGTGGGTGCCACTGAAACTTTTTCAAGTTTAGTCCCCGTGCTTTTTGTTGGCCATTGGAACAGTCTTGATATGTTCTCAGGTTTTCTGAGTTTATACTATTAAAAATGGCTGCATCACTTGAAACAGTGATAATACCAACAAGCTGACCATCCTCATATAATGAGCTTTTTGTCACTATCGCCATAAATATCTCACCGCACCTCTTCTTAAAAGGAAACTGACCTGACCATGATTGACCATAGCTCAACTTCTCCATTATTTTATTTGCGCGCACACAATGTTCTTCATCAATAAGCAGATCTACAACTCTTTGACCAAGTATCTCATAATCCTTATATCCATAGAGTTTTTCAGCAGAACGATTCCTGAAATAGAGAACATTTCTTAATCAATGTATTATGTCATTAAATTTTAAAATTCACCAACAATTTTTAAAAGCAAAACTTATTCCCCGTCTAAACAGGAGACAATTGACATTAGGATTTGATAATTCAAGCATTGACATTGCTGAATTGAAATTGGAAAGGCACTCTATTCACCCTGAGCATGTTCCAAGCTTCAGCGGGCAGGGGAACTTGAGTCTGGAGCTCCTAGAGCAAAACTGTAAATTAAATACATAAAACCAAACAATAGAAAGTGAAGCTAAGGTTATTGTCCTCTCTATACTGTAGTTTTAGGCAAAAATACCATTGATTCCTTTAATCAAGTCTGTAAAAAAATATTATATTAATTGTATAAACTGATGTGGTTTATTATTGGTACATGCCCTCAATATCCACTAGAGGAACAGAGTTGGACATCCCACAGAAGTAGAATTGTTCTTTTTTCCTTTACATGCATTTGAAGGTGCAGGGCTATTGAACTGAATTAGGGCATTACAGAAAATGGCAGCTAAGTGGCAGTCAAATTTATAAGGCTGTCAAACAGCGAAAAAAAAAAAAAACCCGATCCTATACAATCACTTGATGATGATAATCCCAGTTTCTGAAATCCATTCATCCAATAAAATGCAGTTGCATCTTCAAATATTTTTCCGGAAGTCAAGGATTGATATTTCATATAGCTCTCATTAAGCATCTAAATGCACCATAACTTCATTAAAATACATACTCTGACAAAGCATTAGTTAAATAAAACTAAAAAGAACAAAAAAAAAAAAAGTAGTTCTTGAAGTTTCAGAATTGTGACATGAACACTCTACTTTTGTTAATGTATGAAGCTAACATATCAGACCCATGGCCATCTTCAAGGCAGCAGGCATATTACCCGAGTATTCGAGCCATGTCTCAAGGCTACGCATTTTGAAAAGTTCATATCCTTGTGATCCTTCCAACATCTGTCTCTAAACCTCGTCATTTATAATATTAAACGAAAAATGCATCAATAACGTCAAGAAGGTGTGCCTAATTTGGGGAAACAATTTAATCATATGAACATTTTCTTCCACAATCCAAGTTGTTGTATAGTGAGGCACACAGACACGCCTATAAATTGATACTATTTATTTACCTACGAAGAGCTGAATTATTTACAATTCACCTGTCAAAATCCAAGGCCAAAATTGCCAACCTGAAGCGGATGGTAATTGTGCTGCTTAAGATAATCGAACTTGCTTAGAAGCCTTATCTAATAGATAGATGAGGAAGGGACTCAATACAAAGCATATACCTACCAAACTAAACGGTGCATAGCATTTGAAGGTACAAATATATATCTAGAATGGGGTCATGATGTTTTTTGTTGTAGCCATAAGCACAAAGATTGGTACAGTAACTGTGCAAGGATCTAGCCACTGTTTAAAATTGTTACCATCACGCGATTTCATGGACGTAATTTCTTTTATGTGTTAAAACATCATCTTCAATCCTAGCCACTAAATTGAAGATGATGGAATAAGAAGACCATTCAGAATTCAAAATTAGTCTCAGCCTTCAAATCGAAAATTCTAAAACACGAACTAAATTAGCTCATTAATTTTGTAGCATCAAGCCTTCGTTGTGAAATTCTATCAAACAGCAAGTGTACGTGACATTGCCACCCAGTAAAAGACCGGTGATACCAGTCATCGACTTTGGAAGCATCCACATGTAAGGCCATAAATACAGCCCCCAATAATCACCTCCATATGCAAACTTTCAGCCTCATTAAATCATTTAAAACACTTCATGATTTACATTCTGAGGTTCGAAAAACACGTTTGACCTTATTTGTAAGTAGTAGTTCCATCAAACACAAATCAAATCATAACCATTTCAAAGATACTCATCAAATATTAAGCTCAAACCATAAATGTGGGCAACCAAGAAAACATCGGTTATATAGCAAATTAGCAATTAGTATAAGTGTATAACAATAACGCTTCAATGTGAACTTCTATCAAACATCTTTGAAGTCTCGCCAACCCACTAACAGAATAGTCAAACACCACCTTAGTTTTTTTTTCCCTCTCTCTTCACGTATCTCCAAACTTATATCCAGCGGTTAGAAAAACACCAAATCCCCACTTTGTTGGGATTTTTTTTATATTTTATGTGCGAAACCATGTGGATAGTTAGGAACTTACGATGACATGACACTTTTTTTTTTTTTTTCGTTGGGAGAAAAACTATTAAAAATTATCCAAATCCCCATTATTTGGTGACTAAACCACAACCATTAGATGCATCTACATGAACCCCGCATAAATGCATCCATTAACTTTGATTTAGTTAGATTGTGAAGTCCGCTTATTTAGTCACATAAAAATATTTTTTTCCTTCAAAACTATCCAAAACAGTTCAAAATTTACATATTTTAAAAATTCACAAAACAATCAGGAAATATATATATATATATATATATTCACAAAACTTATCCAAAAAAAGCAATAACCACAAAACAGGTTTGGCTTTATTTCTAAGCAACTTTTTCATCAAACAGAATAGAACACTAACCATTCTAAAACTAGTCAAAAACGAAAATCTTAATCTCAAAAGACAAATTAACAGGGGAAATCAATAAAAAAAACAGTGATTAATGAACTGATTACGTAAAGTTAAAAGGGTTAATTAATTACCAGTAAATGATCTCTCCAGATAGAGCTCTGCTCACGTAAACAGCATGGCCCATGTACTCCAACACGTTCCGGTACAGATTCCGCGTCGAGAACACTCCGGTGACACAACCCCAGCCGGGATATGACGTCAAATCGTCGGAATCTGACGACCCAACTTCGTTCATTCTCGTCTTGCTCTGTTCTTCCACTAGCAAATCGAACTGCTCTTTGAGTCTCGCGTGACTCACTTCCAGACTCTGAAACCGATCCACCAGAACTCGGTAACGACTCGCCCCTGACTCGTCGGCCTCCATGTCGCCGGTGGTCGCCGGACTGACCGGACATGGTGTGACCAATGCGCATACATGGAGTAGTACTTTATTATGGGGTGGTGACCTGAGTTTATGTATATATTACTAATTAATTATATATATACACACGTATTGTGAGAATCGTGGACATAAAGGGTGTTTGCCACGTGTAAGTAGCCGGCTTGAGAAGCCTATGGAGTACGGACGGGTGTAGAAGAGGGCAAATCGGGAAACAAATTTGTCTTTAGCTTCATTGGGTGAGAACATAGATGGTGATTGGTGGAGACGAGAGTGTTTTTATGATTTTGTTCCATAATTGCCCTTCATATAAGGATATGTTACAATTATAGCTTTACGTTTTAAAAAAAATTAGTGTTAGGGGTTAGGTTGCTTACTTTACAATATCAATTATTTTAGTACTCAAACGTGGCATAGGTCAAAAGCTAAAAAGAGAATTGTTTGATGCATAACACTAACATCATGCTTGATGATCTCCTTTTATATTCACTGTACGTGTGTCTTTAGTGCAGAATTTACAAAGTGCAAGGAAGTAGATATTCGGGTGCGCCCCATACAATATTTTTTAAAAAAAGTTAGCGGGCTACTTCTAAAATTGTTCTTATCGAAATAATATGTTTTAATTGATTTGATTATGTGAGTAAGCTGATCATATATCAATACACTCAATATTTATTCTTAGTGGGGCACACACAATCGTCTTCAACAGATGTCGCTCTTATATTCCGAGTGCGTTTTTACTCTCACGCTTCGCGTGCAATTTCGTTTCCATTGCCGTGACTTAATTATGTCACTTTCGTGTTTCCGCTCTTAAATTCGCTCTCGCTTCTTTTCTCGCTTTATGTGACATAAGGACAATTACTTTATTGATTTTTTTTTAATTTAAATTATCACATATATTTTGTTAAAATTTTAAAAATAAACCACTCAATTTAGAAAAATATCTCACCCCTCACTCTTTATTTTTTATTTATTATTATTATTTTTTTCACTCTCTACAACCTCCACATTCTTCATAACCAATTATTTCTCTCATATTCCCACTCAATGTTTAAAATTTCTTAAATATTCTTGCACCTTTTATTTTTAAGTCTAAAATAAAATAATAATAATGGACTCTCTTGTTTTTTCTTTCCCTATTATTTCATACTATTATTTCTTTCTTTGTGTTTAGTATTGACACATATTGAAGACGACCCAACACATGTCCAACAAGCCACATGAATCAAAATTGTCTATTAAATTCTTCTTAAAAAATAAAAAATCGTCAACAGAATCAAAAAAAAAAAAGAAAAAGAAAAAAAAGAATAGAAAATTATTGATCAGTATAAAAATTATTAATCATAATGGGAAGTGCAATTCAACCTGTAGTCAATGTACATGAATATACTTGTATTGAAAAATTATATTCCATAGTTTTAGGGGGCGAAAAAAAAACACTAAATTTAGTCGGCAGAATGAACGAGTAATGATTGGCGGTTTAAAGACTTCGTTCTTAAGCAAGGCTGCTGAGTGAACAATGGATGACACGACTCCCCAAAAAATGGCGCCGCTGTTACAAGTTCCGAAGATGGGCTGCGCGTGCCTACCTGCTGCGAGTTGCCTGCCCAAATTTTGAGCCACACCCGCAACCAATAAACGAATTAAATGCATGCAGTCATTTATGTTGAGTCATGCCCATTCAACGCTTTGAATGTCGTGTTGGCAAATTTTTTATTTTTTTTCAGTTTTTTTTTTTATTATTATTTTTTTCAATGAGAATAATCAGAAGTAGAAAATAATTTTCAGTTTTTAGCTTCTTTTTTTATAAAAATATATTTTAAAAAATTCACTTAGATGAAGAGAACAAAAATTTATCAATATGTTTGATTGCATTTACGAAATTAGTTATCTAAAAATAGACATAATTTAAAAATAATAATTTTCAGTTAACTAAACAGAATTTTTGTATAATTTTTATTTTATTTTTTATTCTCTAAAAAAGAAAATTTATTTCTAAAGCTACAAATCAAGGAGATGCTAACATTTTCTACCCATAAAAAACAATTAAAAATCCTTACTGAAATGATCATTATGGCTCCACATTAGTGACATTCATAATTAAATGAAAATCAATCACAATAGTAGATTGACACTGGTCTTTGGTCTGGTACAAAATAGTTATTAAGAAATGCTCCATCCAATTAGCTATGAAAGGCGAGCGTAGTGTTATGGGCCTAGAGATTTGGCGCAGTGGCACGGCCCGTGCGGCACCAAGGCGTTGCTTCAGCTCGCGCAAGCACCCTGATCATCCACTACGACCTGCCTTCCCAAGGATACATGTTGACTGGTTTCGGCTTGCCATGGCCTCGTCAGGGGAACGGCTCCAGCTCCCGACCAGTTTGTGCAGGGATGGCCAACTCCCTTCTTCATAGTCAAGTCCACGACTAGCGACAAGCACCTCGAACTGAACCGAATCGACCTGCCTGAACTCTGAAGAGGTACCATCCTGTGGTCCTGCACGCCCCTTCCGTGGAACCATTCCTAGTCAATGAATGTTCTTAGCCAACCAGCATGCGTGTCTTCTATGCTTATGGCGTCGTTAGGAATCGGATTGTGACATTCTCCCCCACCCAAATCCTGCGACGCCCTCGTCGCAGTGCGGCGCTGACTCCGCTGCATCCAACATTCCAAAGTCTCTCTCCTCCAAGTGGTATGCTCGCCTGCCCACCATCGCTTCCTTGTACAACCCCCGGCTGCACTCGCCCAATGATAGGGTTTCGGGCTAAAGGGACGCCCACTTCTTCGAGACGCAACCCCACGTTATGCCGCCTCCGCGACACCCCGAGCAAACAAGCGCCCTCCGGCTGACTTGATACCCGCCCTTCACAACGGTTTGCACGCCTCTTGAACTTGCAAGAACTTTGGTGCGCGCGGCCCTCCGGCCATCCGATGCGCGCGGCCCTTCGGCCTAAAGGACGCGTCTTCATGGGGAGATGGAAGCTCTTCTCCAACAGCATTAATTGCCCACCGACGCTTTAGTGCACCCACTTCATTCTCAAGACTCCCGGATCGACAAGGGGGCACACCTCTGTGCTTTTCCCCAAGTCCTGCTCTGATACCATTTGTCACGGGCCTAGAGATTTGGCGCAGCGGCACGGCCCGTACGGCACCAAGGCGTTGCTTCAGCTCGCGCAAGCGCCCTGATCAGCCACCACGACCTGCCCTCCTAAGGATACATGCTGACTGGTTTCGGCCTGCCATGGCCTCGTCAGGGGAACGGCTCCAGCTCCCGACCAGTTTGTGCAGGGATGGTCAACTCCCTTCTTCATAGTCAAGTCCACGACTAGCGATAAGCACCTCGAACTGAACCGAGTCGACCTGCCTGAACTCTGAAGAGGTACCATCCTGTGGTCCTGCATGCCCCTTCCCTGGAACCATTCCTAGTCAATGAATGTTCTTAACCAACCAGCATGCGTGTCTTCTATGCTCATGGCATCGTTAGGAATCGGATTGTGACAGTAGGGCGACAAATCGCTAACACTCTTTTTTTTGTATAAGAAATTAAAATTTTATGACGACGTAATCTCATCTTCTCTATATCACTCTACACCATTAACAAAAATCTTTTTAAAGTTTAAGTGTACAAATTAATCAATATTAAAATTGTAGAAATTCAAATTTTGACAATTAAATGAACTTAATTAGGGGAGCCTCGAACAATGAATTTATGTTACGTTTGATTTGCAGAAATAAAATGTTCATTTCAACCATTCATTTGTTTGGTGTGCAGGAATGGAATGGAATGACCATTCCAATGGAAGGAAAATCCATTCTATTATTAAATATATGGAATGGCTATTTCATTTCATAGTAAAATTAAATATTTTGTAATATTCCCAATAAGCCCCTTCATCACATTCTAATAAGGCAAAATTTTTTCAGATAAATCAAAAAAATTTCACATTCCATTTTTCACGTTTCTCGAGCTTCTTTATTAGACGTGGTAAAGATTTTTCACCTTCCCTCCCCTCTGAATATACCTAGAGATGCCATTGATAAAAAAGTTACGGGACCTTCAACCATATTATATATATATATATATATATATATATATATATATATATATGTTTTAGCCTTTACATCAGCCTCTTAGGTTAAGTATTTAATCCTTTTTTTTGATAAAATTGTAACTAGATTGATTTTATTAAAAAGTAATGAAAAGGGTATTGAGAAAAATTATTCCATTCTAGATTTAATGATAGTCAACCAAACAATAGAAGGGTAATAATCATTCAATTCCATAATGATTCATCGTGTCACACCAAACATTAGAATGATAATACTCATTCCATTTCATTATTATTTTAATTCCAATTTACATTCCATTCCATCCCTGTACATGCAAACATAGCCCTATATATATAAATATATGTAAGGAAATGAAAGTTTAAATTTTATGCCATGTTGGTAAGAAAGAAAAAAATTGAATAGAAGAGTCCTTGGGAAAAATAAATATGGTGAAGGGAGAGAAGAAGGAATGGATAAAACCTCCTTAGAAAAGATATTGTATGTTTTTTTCTTTTATTTTGACTGGCTAGAAAAAAAAAAAAAAAGGAAGGAATAAATTCATAATTTAAGAGAAAGTTTTAATTAAGAGAGAAATGTAAGTGGATGAAATGACGAAAGTGATTGGGTAGGCAGAGGCAGCCTAAAAAAAGAACTTTACCTTTAAAAAATAAAAGTATTTTCGTAGTAGTAATCATACAGAGCAAAAGTATTTGTCAAGTAGAAATCATACAGAGTAATTTAAATCTTAAAATTTCTGTTTACCTGCCCTCTCCACTAACTACTAAGATAGCTAACAATAATCCTGTATTAAATCAATAAAAATTAATGTGATTTCACTAAAATGCATTTATCACCTCTTTCGTGTATTAAAAAGAAATACGATATCCTTCTAAGAAGCGTAGAACATTGGAGAAAGGACCAGCTCACTCTTTCACCTTAATCACCGACCGATAGGGCCCAACATCATCCTCTGCAAAAGATATTTACACATATACTTCTTCCACACACACAACGATAGTGTCTTTCTTAAGAGAAACACAAAACACACAGAAAACAATCACAAACTCCAATCTCTCTCCAAATTTGGCTTTCATAAATGGCGAGACCTAATCAAGAAGCAATCCAAACCTTCATGACCATCACCGGCGTATCTGAATCGGTCGCGGTGCACAAAATCGAGGTATTTTCTCCGAATTATCTATAAAATTTTGATACTGTTGTAATTATTGATCAGACGTTTGTGCCGAAGATTCGATTATTGTTAGTGGAATGGTTAAATGTCTTATTTAGTTCTTAATTGAAGTTCTCCGGTTGGATCATGTATTTAGTTTGTTGATTATCTGCGATTCGTTGCTTTACTATATGTATAATGATTGTTATTTTAATCATCCGTCTGGTTGCTGAGAAAATGGAGGAAAGCAAAAGTAAGTGTAGTTCTCAATTTTACTTTTGATGTATTTTTGGTTTGAAACGAGTATGTTACCTCACTAAGTTCGGAGTTATTTCTGGCTCAGTGAAGTTGAGGTTCATGTTTTTCAGTTTCATAATTATTATTAATTTAAGAGTTTGGCATTTAGTTATATAATTCTTTTACATCATCTAAAGCATTTCTAACGAAGCTTAAGCTTCATTTGGTTTTAAAAGAAACAATGAATCACCAACATGCCGGTGGTTACCTGGCCCCTACTTCCCAAAGGGAGGTTAGGGGTTCACTCCATGAAGGCATGTGTGTGCAAGGGCGAATCCAGGAATTGTCAAGAGGGGGGCTAAGCAAAAAAAAAATTTTAACAGGATGATTGAATCTTAGGGGGATCGAAAGATGAAAAAGTTGAAAATTTTAAAGGAAATACAATTAGACTTTAGAGGGAGAGGGGCTAGGTCACATAGAAGATTAGGAGGAGCTTTCTGATTTATGCTGTAGCTCTTAATCGGGCTTTAGTGATTGTTTAGGGCTTCTTTGTCTTTGGCCTATTTGGTTGGGCTTTGTTTTAAAATTGTAGCTTAAATCTTGGACTTATTTGGATGGGTTAATATTTAGGAGGGCTAATACTACTACTAAATTTTATTTTTTTTTTAGAATTGGACTAAATTTAGCATTATTAAAAAAAAAATTTTTTTTTTGGGGGGGGGGGGGCCCTCTGTGTCCGCCTGTGTGTGTGCGCGCCAGTACCAACTAAGAAAGAAAAAAAAGAAACAATGAATCCGTTTGTTGTCTAGAAGGGATAATTTGCTATATATATAATTTTATGGCACTAAAATCACTGTTTGGACTGACAAATTATAATTGTTGGTGGTCCTAGATTATTGATGTGTTTCTTTCTCTCTCCCTTTCCTTCCTATATTTAAAACTACTAAATATAAAATTTTAGAGCAATCTGAGTTCGTTAAGGCCTTGAACAAAAATCCCAAAATAATTAGTAGGCCTCCTATAAGACAATAAAACATGATTTCGGAACTAAACGAAGGTTTTCAGCCGAAAACCAACACGGCCCACAAGCTAAACCTATTGGGTTTTTTTTCTTCTCAAAAGGTAATTTCACCCAAAAAACACCCCTCTGAGGTCAAAAACGGACTCGTCAAACTGCTCAGAATTCTGTCCTACATCAGCTTACTAGAAAAAAATGATAAATTTCTTTTACATGTTATTGCTTGGAATAACATACACACAAATGTGCATGAGCACGGCTTATTTGAGTGATGATTTTTATATTCAACTTGAAACAATTTCTTTTAACTTTGCAAATGAATGTCAATAACTTCACCTGGGGTCCACTATAATTCTGAAAGAAAAATGGATACATGCTTATCTATAAAAAAAAACCGATAACGAAAAGAAGGGAGTATATAAATAAAGAATACTTAAGAAAGAGAAGCAAACAGATTATCGCAGTGCATTCCTTCAGACTTAAAACCACCACTTTAATTAAATAATCTCCCATAAACGTGGCATAGGGGTGAATTAGTGTTCGACAACTTTATTCAATCCTGATATGTCCAATTTTTGTACTGTTTACAAACTGCTTCAGTGTCAAGTTTTATTTCTTTTTCTTTGGGTGGACATGGAGCAAAAACAAAATTAAGATGATAACTGATCTTTTTCTCTATAGCCCTTCTCCATGCTCATAAACTCCCCCAACCTTGGTGAAGGTGGGATTTAATACTAAGACTCTGATCACATGGAGGTTTTCCAAGCTAAGTAGCTTGCACCTTCAAGAAGTGGCTTCTTATGCTTATCGGAAATGCTTACAACAATGCCCTACCAAAGGATGCTTTTGGTTTCAGTTCACTTCTGCAGAAATGCATTTAATGGGCAGGATGAAACCTATAATGTCATGGAAATTGTTCAAGCTGCAGAGGGAAATTTTTGGGACACTTTTGGAACTCTTTGTAATCACCTGACCTGGGAAACACTTCAGCAATGCTCGGACCATGAGAATTGCATTATCCAAAAATCTCTCTCTCTTGTTTTCTTTTTCCTTCCAAATTTACCCAAACTATATTTTAGGATGATTAATGAGTTCCTTCAATTCTATTTCTATAGGTTACATTTTAGTTTTTGTTGTACTATTTTTCTTTAACATTTATCATTTAGTTTCTTGATAGTTGATAACTTGATACAAATCATTCTGCTTTAATTCAGCCATGTGTTTTCTTGATTGCATTTCACATTTCTATTTTCCCATTTCATTTTCTTAATTCTTACACTAATTTGTCTCGAGCACTGTGAAACCTCACCGTTTTTAAAGGAATAATGGATACAGTCTGCAACTTTTACCCGACCATTCTTCTTAAGGGAAATAAAAACTCTTTCCAATTCATCATGGACAACAGCAAGTGTTTTGCTTCCGTCACATTCATCTGAGAAAAACAACGTTGAGTTTCATTTTGAGAAACTTATTTGTTTGTTTGCTGATCTAGATAATTATTCATTTCAGGGCATCATAATATTAATATTAATAAATGAAGGACCCTTGGTTTAATAACTTGAAATATTTGCATCAAATTGTCTGTAATGTTTATCATTTATTTATGTATTATTTTTTATTTTTTTCAGTTGAAGCATTATCCTTTGTTGAGGAAAGGGTGGTGGCAATGGGAATTTTCCTGCTTTGAACTTCTATTGGGTGAGCCTCGTCACAAGTGTTTCTGAATCGCAGACAGGTCGGGTGGTGCTATTTGTGGGCCACTATACGACCACTTAAAAGTGTCTCTGTTCATCTAGTGGATAGAAATTGCATCTGAAATTTACAATTGGGGTCAGCATGTAACAGCATCTCAAATTCACACCATCTGATCCATTTAAGAAGCTTCATACTTAACAAAGAAACATCATTGTTAAATCTTTATCTATTCTGTATGAAATGAGGGGTGTTGCCTAGTGCTGCGGTAAAAGTGCATTGAGCATGGGCCTCAGTGTATCCATTTTGTGAAATATAAACACTTAGGTTTGTCTCGAGTTCTCCCTCCCCAGGACCTTGCTATAGATGGACCGGAATTGGCTACAGTCGTAATTTGTATGAAATGTTCTTCAACACCAAGCAACCAAATTTCCCAGTAGAAAGAAAATTTATAAATTTGACATGATAAAGAATACTAAACTCTCTCTTTGCTGCCAAATTGCCAATTGTAATATCATAGTAGTTGTCACTGTCTTTTTGTTATTCCATCGTGATTCATTCTCTATTAGTTGTCATAATTTTCCTAGTAGTTGTCACTGTCTTCATGATCAACTCATCCTATTTGAGTTGGAGAAATTCATCTCAACAGAGCTTAATATCACATAAGTCGTGCAGAAATCCATTAAAGGTGAAACATTGCTTTTATGTGTAACCAATATTCTCATTGAGCATAAGTGTGCCTGTTAATCTGTCAAACATGTTCAACAGCCAATAGATCATCTTTTCGTTCAATCTGTATGGCAGCAGTGTTTTCTAGGACCTTCAAATTTAATTACTCATTACACAGTGACGATTTTTGTTATTGTTTAACTTCTAGTTACAGTATTTGTAGTGTTTCTGGTTGCGTTGGATTTAAGGACGCCTTTTTCTAGGTTTTAAGCATTTCGAGCTGTATCTGAGTTGTTTGATTTTTTAAAGAAAAATGATTCATTTCCCTCTTCTCTTCCCCCTTCCAATTTGATAGTCATGTTGAAACATTGCTTTTATGTGTAACCAATATTCTCATTGAGCATAAGTGTGCTTGTTAATCTGTGAAACATGTTCAATATCTGAGAGCTCTAGCTTATTTTCGGACCGAACAGGTCACAGTTATCATGATTGAGAAAAAAAATTGGGAAGCATGTTCTAGGACCTTCATTATTTAACTACTCATAATACGGTGTCCAGTTTCTTTATTGTTTAACTTCTAGTTACAATATTTGTAGTGTGTATTGAGTGCGTTTGATTTAAGGATGGCTTTCATCCAGGTTTCAAGCATTTAGTACTGCATCTGAGTAGTTTTTCATTTTTAAAGAAAAATGATTCATTTCCATCTCTTCTTCTCCCTTCCAATTGATAGTCATGTTCTTTATGGCAATTAGGAGCATGGTGGCGATCTCAATGAAGCTGTTAATGCACATTTCAGTGAAGGAGATGGAAACATGTCAGTGTTCTTCTTATTTCATTTCCCTGCTATATTTTTCTTCTCAATTGTTAATGGAAGCTCATTGCATCATCTAGATGCTTTTTTTTCTTTCTAATATTGACGTTACCATTTGTATTTCGGTTTCCAGCACGCATGAAGCAGCAGCTGCTTCTCAGAACGACATGATGGACATAGATGATCCAATCCCCGTTGACTTTCGCAGACCTCCTTTCTCACTTTTATCTAGTGGTGGATATATGAATCCATTCTCTCTCATTGATCCTAACTTTGGTAGAAGTCTGTTTGACAGTGGTCCCGATTTTGCAAGTCGTGCACCATTTGTTTCACATCCACGAGAAGTGAGGGAGATTCCCATTGAGGTCAAGGATGGGAGTGAGCAATCGGGTCATCATGGCATCGCTCCTACCATTGAGGATGTCACTGGAACTGCAAACACACATGACCCAGAAATCCATGGGACTGTCACGTTTGATGATGACGACGATAAAGATATTTCAACTACACATGCTGCCATACAGATTGAACGAAAAGATGATGTATTGGTTGGTAACTCTCATGGAATGCATCCTAGTCCAAGTGTTCCTGGAATTGATGATTTACCTGACTACATCAATAAGATAGAAGAAGAAATGATTCAAGCTGCCATTGAGGCTTCAAAACGGGATGCTGAAAAAGGTTATTTAAATCAACATTTCGGTGCTCGTAATGTATGTAAAGAAAATTTCACTTTCTTGGTGCACTTCTTCATCGTCCTCCATTGATTCTATATATTGATGCATTTTCATTTTGTTGTAGGACTTAAGTAATTCTGGGGCCCAGCAGAGGCAATCTCACCAAAAGGATGCTGAACTTGTGCAAGCAGTTTCATTGTCCTCAAAGGTTGGTGGTTCTATTATTTATGGATATTCTTATCTTGTGAAATTTTGCCTCTGTTTGACATGTATTTGAGTCCAGGGAACAGAACAAGGGACTGTGTTTCAAGAGCTGGGGGTAAAAGTTGGAGCATCAGAACAGGAAGCTTACAAGTTTGCTGAGGTGGGAGAGCTGGGGAAACTAACACCATCAAATGGAAGGTATAAGTTTTCTGCTGCATGTAATTTTTTTGTACGTTCTTTATTCGTTTCCTGCTTGGAAATTTTTATTTGTTTACCGTTGGGGACAATGATATGGTTCTCCTAACAAAGGTACTTTAAGGCAATCTAGGTTGGAGGTGGGTAGCTCATCCATCCAGGATGACACCGAAGATGTGGAAGAGCAGCCACTAGTTAGGCACAGGAATAGACATATGTCTTCTGACTCTGTTGAATCTGCAAGAGACATAGAAGAAATTGAGGCTAGCGCACCATCAAGTCCTGGACCGGAAAATAATATTGATCGTCCACCACATAATGGAAATGGCTTTCCTTCTGATGAGGTAGCTTCCTTTTGTTGTAAAGATTCTTATCTTGAGTACTTTACAGCTACTTCAGATCACATATTATTCTCTTGTTTTTCAAGTGTTCTTGAAACATGAATCATCTTTGACATTTTGATATTTGTTGCTTTGAAGTGGGGAGGCATCTCTTCTGAGGAACATGATGAAGCAGTTATGCTTGAGGCTGCACTCTTTGGTGGAATTCCTGAAGGGGGTGGATATCATTTTGCACATGCACCTCATCAATTTATGCAGAATGGTTTAGATAGAACCTGGGGTCCCTATTCCAGGCGTATACCTCGGCCCCCCTCACCTGGTGTTGCTGCTCAGCGCTTATTACGGGAACAACAGGTTTGAATTTTGAGCCAACAAATTGTGGTCTTGTTTTCATAATTGTCATTGATTCTACTTCTTTCTAAATGCATCAGGATGATGAATATCTTGCATCACTGCAAGCTGATAGAGAAAAAGAACTGAGGGTAATGGAAGAAGCTGAAGCCCGTCATTTAGAAGAGCAAGCAGCTAGAGAAGCTGCTCTTGAAGAACAAAGGCAAAAGGAGGAAGAGTCATGTAGAAAAATTGAAGAGGAGCAGGTGATGTTATTGGAAAATTCAGGCTTGTTAAAGGCAGGATGTGTAACTGCATAGTAGTCATACAAACATAACTTATGGTCCCCGAAACTTATTGAAAATTTTACTTGGCCCCAAAAATAGTGAGCTTGGAAATAAGCATAATTTTTATCCTCTCAAAACTTATATAAAATTTCAACTTAGACCTTTTTAGCCCTACTTTTGAAAGCCCAAATCTTGCAGAACAAAAATATAAGTTCATTATTATAGTACTTTTTGCTGCAACATATCATTACTTGATTTACATTTACATATACACATGTATAAGATCTATTATATGAATTCAGCTGAGAAAGAAAAAGACAAATTAATCTATTATCCCCTCATGCAACAACCAAGACTTTTTCCCAACTATAATATCTCTCATATATTTAGTAAAAATACATGAACCTTCCCGATTAGACATTATTTTTGGACGGAGTCTACATGAAAAATATCTTAAAACATGCTATGCGTCTTTGGAGACACTTGAGAGCACTGAGAAGGAGGGCAAACTAAAGTGTTGTGGGACCAAGAAGACAAGAATGCCTGCATTAGTTGAAGTGGAAGATCTGGGCCATAAGTTAATAATTCGCTGAATTCTTTGTTTCAACCTGTATTACATGGAGTCTCATATCCTTTCAAGTCTCAAACATACCCATATCAACACGACATGACTTTGTTATTGAATATGGGATGTGTCTGAAACACGAACCCAAATCGGACACCCAATCCGAAAAAAAATCCAAATTTGATAGTAGAGATCTTCCTACTTCTGAGATAGATAAAAACTATTTTCACATCCAAACATTTTAAATTTTAATTGGGTATATCCTTAAAGAACTATGCCATGCATTACTCAGTTACACACACATATTTATATGTGCAGGATGTGTTTACATACCTATACATCATTGACCCAGTTGAGTCTATGTAACATTGGTTTCAATTAAACTTCCAGCATTGCTCTTTCTAACTTCATCATTCATCAAGTTCTCTAGATACTTTCGATCAGTGTGATTGATTTCTCACAATTATTGCTTCGTTTTAACTAAGCCTCCAGCATTTCTCTTTCCAGTTTTTTTGTTCATATTCAAGATACTAGCGATCACTGTGATCTGTTTGTCACATTGATTCTGAATATTTATTTCTGTTGGAGATGATTTGATTTTTTTGTTTCATTGTTTTATGCTTCTTGATCCTGTCCTTGAAATGGAATAGTTACATCCTCTGCGCAAGTGCCGTTCCCCTCCAACTGATGTTTCACACTTCTTGTTGGATGGGAGAGACAAAACTCCTTTTTCAAGAGCAATCTCATGTTTAGAGTTTATATATTCATTCCTGATTACTAACTCATGGTGCAGAAGGTTGAGAGACAACTAGTGGAAAAAGAAGCTTCGCTTCCTCGGGTACCAAAATCAGATGATGAGAATGCTGTGACTCTTCTAGTGCGGATGCCAGATGGTAGTCGTCGTTGTCGTCGTTTTTTTAAGTCTGATAAACTACAGGTATTCTTATTAATTTTTTTTTTTAATCACGGACCGGGTTTTGGAATCCGGGGCGTGACAACATGGTATCAGAGCCTACCCAGCCAGAAGTGTGGCCAATGGGGAAGTTGGGTCCCTAAGGGGCTGATTGTAGCGACCTTGTAGGTGGGTGTGCCGTGGGCGGGTGGAAGAGGCACTGGTAGGCTACCACACTGGGTGAGCTACAGGTGCACAATCCCACATTGCTTGGTTGTGGAAAGGGGAGGTGTTATATACGTAGGTGTGTCACTCCAATTGGTATGAGGCCTTTTGGGGTAAAACCAAAGAACAAAACCGTGCGGGCTCGGGTCCAAAGCGGACAATATCATACCACATGTAACGACCCTAGCTGATGCCAAGAATTTTACAAAAAATTCAGCATAACTTCCCCTAAAAATAGGCCTATCACAACCTGTTTAATTGCATTTTTAACCTATCATGGCTCAAATTCCGAATTCACGGCAATAGTAGATGATGATACACAATCAAATGACCTCAATAATACTTCAAACTAGTATTACTCTCCCCATTCATCAATAAGGCTTACATGTTATCAAATTCACATCAAAAATATCATCAAATACCTTAATTACATTACATGACAAAGTTTTTGCAAAATATACATATACACCTTCACACTTTTAGTGCTTTGCAAAAATAATGGGAGATATACAAAAGACACAAAAGTGAGCTTCTAGTATCGCTCAAGCTTGAGGTGGGTTGTTGTCCACCGGTTCTTTTCCAAGACCTGAAAAAAATGTATAAATAGTAGGGTGAGCTATATGCTCAGTAGGTGACATTTAAGACACAAATCTTGTGTCCTTGTGAATTCAAGCAAAGCATAGGCCAATGGGAGATAGGGATTATACAACGTAGGGGATCAAATACAACATACAAGTCAATTCCAAGTATAAACAATGCAATGCAATGAAATGAAATGCAATGCATGTCAATGACACTCCCCATTTTCATTCTCAAAACTATCACTTTCAAACGTTAATACAGCTCGCCCTTTGGTAACCCCGCCGCGACACGAGAGGAGGATTGGCTAGTGTCCCTGACCCTTGGTAACCCCGCGGCGTCATTATGGGGCCCAGCTAGTTCAACCACACTAGGGCGACTTCCTAGTCCCCTCTAGGCTATATTAACCTCCGGCCCGTTGGTAACCCCGCAGCGACCGGGTTTATTAAAACCATTTCACAAAAACTATCATCTCCCAAAAATTCCTCATTTTCATTTCAAGACAAATTCTCCCATTTCATGCATCCCAATGACATGTCCAAGAATGTACATATAATCTCAATATCATGAAAATGTGAAATTTTGGCACAATACAATTAAGCATGGTTTCATACATCACTTTCAGCAAGTTTACACATGGTGGACATAAACTCAACACATAGGCAAGCTTTTCACATAATACATCACATGTGCATAAACATACATTTCTCTAGACAACATTAAAATAATCATTAACACAATTAATCCCCAAGTAAAGCATGTTAGCACATAAAAGAGGTGTAATTCACAAAAAACACCACAAAGCCATCATCTATACATGCTTTTCACATAGACAAGTCATAACCCTAAGACATGAATTTTTTCTAAACATCACTTACACCTCATTGAAGCAATTAATTCTCAAATTTAGCATGTCTAGCACAACAAAAGAGCATAACTCACAATGGAACAAGAAAAGAGTGGATTAAGATGCCCTTACCTCAAGATTGCACCAAAACCCTAGAAAATGGGTCCTCAAATTCGAGCTCCAAGGAAGGTAGCAAAACTGGAATTGCTGGTACTAGAACGTAGAGCTCGTCACACTCGTCGTTTTGCCTCAAACGGCACCTAAATCCGGCAAGGATTGAGAGAGTAATCAAGGGTTAAAGCTTGAAGTGAAAAAAAAGAAAAAAGGAAAAGAGAAGGAGCCGAGAGCAGCAGTCGGGAGAAAGAGAGAGAAAAAGAAGAGACTAACTTGGTCTCTTAATTCATTTAAAAGGGACGTGGGTCCCACCTCTCTTTTTCTAATTTATTTTTCTCTTTTTTTTTTTTTTTTTTTTTTTTTCTTTTAATACACACCGCACACACAGGCATATATATATAAAGGCACAAACATTACACCATATGGTGGGGTCAAAATTGATTTGCATTAATGATTGTAGCCTTTTGTATGTCCTTGCGGTGTAGCATGATACTGGTTTGGTTTGCTTTGCAGGCCCTTTTTGACTTCATTGATGTCGGTAGAGGGGTCAAGCCTGGGAATTACAGATTGGTAATCTTCATCTCTATTATTTTTATTTATTTGTTCAAAGATTATTGTAAACAAAACCATCATCATCCTTACCTTTGTCCCGTTTGAATGGGGTCGACCAATATAGCAAACAAAATTTAGCTGTTAATTTGCATGGAAATCACTCTTGTGCTCTAATTTGGGATTCATGAAATAGAAACTGAAATTTACCAGTCAACTTGAAACTTGGGAGATTTAGCTTGACTAGGTCAATAGTCTTGCTGACCAGAGTCCTGGTTGTAGTCTAATCGAGTTCCTCTGCCCTGCTAAGAAACAAAAATAAAAAATTCATTTTTCCCGAGTTCTATATGATTCAATTTTTCCAAAAAGGGTAAAAAAGATGGAATTCAATGAATTTGTGATTCTTTTTTCTTTTAACTATTATATATATAAATTTTTTTGGGGGGTGGGGGTTTTCAAATTGCTGATGTCCCAACTTATTTTTGAGTGCTAACTAAACTCAATTAAGCTTTATTTTAACGGCTGGGACACATTCCCTCTGACCCCAAAACCTTTCGCTATTGGGTAGTGTTGCTTACCCGCTCTTGTATGCCCAAGACCTTCCCCATCTGGGATGTGGGACAAACCCCTTCTAACATTAAGCTCAATTTCAAATCCATTAGGAATTCAGAAATAGGAAAAATTTACATTTGTTTTTTCGTTCCCAGTACTTGTTGAATTCGTGTCCTCAGGGTTTAATGCTCTTAAAGAGAGTTTATTTGTACTGTAATTTTTAAGCCTGTCCAATCTCTTCCAACTATTGTGAACAATTTGGCTATATTACGATCTTCTTGACATGCAAGAGCTATATACATGCTGCATGTACATACATACTGATTGATCATCTAATGTTATGTTTTGGGCAGGTAAGGCCATTCCCTCGGCATGCTTTTAGTGATGGAGAGAGTGCCTTAACTCTTAATGAACTAGGCCTGACCAGCAAGCAGGAAGCACTGTTTCTGGAATTGATTTAGCATCATGTCTCTTGTATAAACTGTAAAAATGTCTAAAATTTAGTTAAAACACAATTAATACGGAGTATATCAAATGTTATGATATTTGTTTGGTTTGCAATATTTGGTTGGAATTGGAGGTGACAGTTGATCCAACAGAAAGAGCAGACTGATCTTCACCGGGATTTATTTCATTCCCGTCTCTTAGTGGCTTTTACAGAGTGATTTTGTAAATTTATATAAAGGCTTTGTTGCGGTAAAGAATTTCTTCTTAACCAGGTCCTAAAGTTTTAAGTTTTGATTCTCCAGAAATAAAAAATTAAAGGCAGGAATTCGCCCCGGCGGGGGGATGGGGGGGATTTCAAGTTCAGGAGCGGTGGATGGCCAATGTTAGTTGTGGCCTTCTGGATATAAGCTGAATGACTTTTTATACATGTGTTTTTTATAAGCTGAATGACTTTCTATACATGTGTTTTTGGTACTCAATTGTTATTAAAATGTTAGCAGTTTAAGTTTTGGTGAAATTAGGCTGTTGTTGGAAAATGGCTATTTATATTAGTATCTATTCTCTTCCTCATGACTGTTCATATCACACACTTTAAAAAGCTTTGTTAGTGGTCGAGTATCCATCTTCTCAATAATTGTCAGATGCAAGAAAAAAGTGTTATATTTGAATGCATATCTATGTGATAAATATGATTGATATTTGCTATTAAAATGTTAGCATTTTAAGTTTTAGTGATCAGTTGAAAATGATAGGTTAAAAATTAATCACAACATCCGAGTGACCTTATCCAAAATAATAAAACTAGCCACATGAGGTGGCAAAAGAAAAGTGTGTACATTGAACATTATAATACAAGTAAGATTTCATTATTATTTTTTTCTTTATCCAGTAATTTTTTATATAAGTAAATTATTGAGAGCGATTATCCTGGAATTTTCAACAAAGCAAATGATGATGGTAGCCAACGGTCAAGTTGATGGATATCAGGAGACAAGCACGTGCGTTTCCCCAGACCCCCACAAGGGTAGAGAATAAAATCCAATCCGCACTGTTCCGTACACCAACTTCCTCAACGGTCATATTTTCACCGACAACCCTCTAACGGTCATATAACCATGGCATCCATTCCAACCGTCTGATCCTCATCGAACGGCAACGAAACAAAATTTCCAGTCTCTTCTCGAAACACCCCTTTTTCTCTAAGCCATCATTTTTTTCAACGCTGGGTAAAATCTAATCCAGTCATGGAAACAGTGTAGTATATAGTAAAGAAACAAAAATAGAGCCTCCTTTATTTATATAAAAACCCACTTCTCATGTGGTGTATGGCTTTTTTTGGGTAGTGAGTATTGAGGAGTGTCTCTCTTGTGTTTGATCATTTGTTTGTTCAATCCATGTTTTCATTTGAAGGGTTCTGATTTCTTCCCATTCTGGGTTTTGGTTTAGATTCAAAACCAGCTATAATGGACTTCTTATATTTATCAAATGCTGATATGAATCACTTAATTTCTCATAATGGCAGCTACCAATTTGAGCAAGTTTGTTGTCTCTGGTGTTTCATGCATGGTGTGAACTTCAATCTTTTCACTCATCACAGCTTTTTCCAATGAAGTCTTCCTCAAACTTTCAGAGTCCAATGATCATTTTCCGGTAGGTGTTCATATTTTCTTCAATTCTTTGATTCTTTTTTTTGGTGGGATTTTTTCGATTCTCTTATTCATTGTATACATTATTTATCTTCAATTATACTAAAATTCATACACACAAAAGCTTTGAAGGGATTCCTATTGTTTTTTCACACACTCACATAGTTTGTCTCTCTTGATTTCTCTCGACAAATTTACATGCAAAGTTTCATGTCAGTACAAAGAATTTATACAGAGTAATCATACATTGCATTAGTTTAAAAACTACAGAAACAAAGAGAGAGATAGAGAGAGAGACAGAAACATAGACAGAGAAAGGGTGGTAAATTGGGGTTGAACAGAAGAGAGAATATTGGAAGACTGAAGAATGTTGGCTGGGTGTTCTTCTACATTGTTGTCACCAAGGCATAGATTGAGGAGTGAAGCATCTGCACAGTTCCAAGCTTGCCATTTCCCTTCAATGAGCACAAAGAGATTGGACTTGCCATGTAGTTTTGCCCGAAAAGACACCTCTAGATCGCAATCCATTAGGCCGGTGGGCCTATCGGTGGAGAAGCCGCTTGAAGCCAAGACCAGTAGCTGTTCTCTTAAGCGCATTAGACTCCCACCTTCAGTAACCCCGGCTCAGAATGCGTTTATCGAAGGCAGGAGAGAGACTAAGGATGAATTGTGGGATAAAGGTAAGAGCTTGAAGAGGTTTGCTGAGCAGGGCTCATTTGATGACGAGTCATGCACCAATAGAGCTAAGAGAAAAAAGGCTAGTGTGAAATCTGACAATTCTCCAGAAGGCCGCGACAATTTGAGTTTAGGCCAACTGGGTAGTGGGAATTTTTGGTTTCAGCCTAGTTTTGAGGTACCCCAATCCTTTCCATTGATCACGGACCTTAAAACACCTGAAGTTCCTTTCTCTCTGTCATATTCCAGAGAGGAAGAGAGGGTATGCTTTGTGCCTAGCAATGTGATCTCGCCGCCTTTGCCTTCTTCCAACAACCCTTGGGTGGAATCTGTTGTGACTGAGATTACAGACTTAGGTGACAAGAATGTTGAGACTAGCCACAGGCCTGTAAAAGAAGCATCCGGATCCAGTACTTCATCTGAAAGTCATAGCTCTGCCCTTAAGCTGAAGGATAACCCCTCCGAGCACGAAATAGGCAATGGGTCAAGGCTGCCTAACCCAAATGAAGGGGCTGAGATCATGGCAGGCGACACAGACATCCATGGGGAGCATGATGAGTTTGAGCTCATCAGCTTACTCACGGCTTGTATTGAATCAATCAGCTCGAAGAACCTTGTCGGCATTAACCATTTTCTAGCTAAATTGGGGGATCTTGCTTCTCCAAGAGGGTCTCCAATTAGCCGTCTCACTGCTTACTATACTGAAGCTTTAGGTCTGAGAGTTGCAAGGCTTTGGCCCCATTTTTTCCATATCACTATCCCTCGGGAGTTTGATCGGGCTGATGAGGATGGTGGCACTGCATTAAGGCTTTTGAACCAGGTGAGCCCAATTCCAAAATTCATTCATTTCACATCAAATGAAATCCTGTTGAGAGCTTTTGAAGGAAAGGACAGGGTTCACATTATAGATTTCGACATTAAGCAGGGGTTGCAATGGCCTAGTTTGTTCCAGAGTTTGGCCTCTAGGTCTAATCCTCCTAGCCATGTTAGAATCACTGGTATCGGCGGATCCAAACAAGATCTAATCGAAACAGGTGACAGACTTGCTGGATTTGCTGAGGCATTGAACTTGCCTTTCGAATTCCATCCAGTCGTTGACAGATTGGAAGATGTGAGGCTCTGGATGCTTCATGTTAAGGAGAGAGAATGTGTGGCTGTGAATTGTATTTTCCAACTACACAAGATGCTTTACGATGGAAATGGAGGAGCGCTTAGGGATCTTTTTGGTCTAATTCGGAGTACAAACCCCACAATCGTTCTTATGGCAGAGCAAGAAGCAGAGCACAATGACCTCAGCTTGGAGATGAGACTTTCCAATTCGTTGAGATACTATTCTTCCATTTTCGACTCAGTTGGTAATAGCCTCCCATTAGACAGTTCAGTCAGGATCAAAATAGAGGAGATGTTTGCCCGTGAGATCAGGAATATTATTGCCTGTGAAGGAAGCCACCGGATTGAAAGGCACGAAAGTTTTGACAAGTGGAGGAAGCTGATGGAGCAAGGAGGATTTCGATGCATGGGAATTAGTGAGAGAGAACTGATTCAGAGCCAAATGCTGTTGAAGATGTACTCTTATGAGAAGTATAGTGTGCAAAAGCAAGGACAAGATGGGGCTGCGCTTACGCTAAGTTGGTTAGATCAGCCTCTTTACACCGTCTCTGCATGGGCACCTATGAATGTTGCAGGCAGCTCATCATCTTACTCTCAGCCAAGTTGATTGCCGCGGCTTTCTTCTTCTTCTTTAGACATTCTTTCATTCCATTCTTGCATACAGTAAAGGAGACATAATTCTTTGTAGGTAGGGAAACCTGTCATCATTCTTTCATTCTTTTGTTGCAGATACGATTTGATATATCCAGTAGAGCAAGAACAATTCCTTTGCATACATTAGCTAGCTTGGTACAGGTTCCAGTCTTTTCAGGCCAGATTTCTAGATTTCAGCTTGTACTTTTTAGGAGTCATATTTGTGTTTATTCTTCGATTCTTTATGTATGTATGCTGAAATTCTTTCAAAATTCTATTATGTAAGTTCTGTATTCTTTTGTTGATGGATTAATATATTATGTCGAACCATGTAGTTCAAATTTGGATCTTTATATATTTTTTGCTTTCACTGTCTATGTTTTGATGCCATAAGAAAGATTTTTTATATAGTTCTTAACTTCTTTTTCTTCCTATAATTTATATTTAGTGGTATATCTCTTTAACATGAATGCCAGCACATGAAGAAACCTGTCATTCACAATGCACGGCGTTGAACATGCTTTCACAATTTTTCGCATACCTGGAAATTTCTCACACATTGCAACATGAATTAGATCCTCAACCGGTAATATATAGAAATAAAGAAGCTCTTCATTGCATCGATCAGATCCTCACCTATATTGACCTAGCCTTCTTGAAGAATTAGTACAGTAAATCCATCTGGCTTAAGGACCTAGCCTTGACATTTCAAGGCAAAGCCTGCAATGATCTCCTGCTAATGAGCAATTGCGCTACTTCGCCTAAGATCTGCCTACATCCCATTCATTTTCGACATGGTAGATTGATTTTCACATAGGTTAAGTACCTATTGTCCCCTCTTTTCAAAGCTGAAGATTATGGTTAAAATTGATAATTATGAGTATGCCAGCGACTGTAATTTCAAATATATGCACGAATTTACTGATAATGAACTTATCCATAATAAATTCAGCCAAGATAGTTGGTATTTGTGTGGATGAGAAGAATTTCATCTGAAGCAGCTTCTTAGGGTTGAATCAAAACAGAGAAAGATAACTGCCACTCGAGTCCATTGAAATAGAAGGCGTGACCTCCTAAGAAAACCTATATTCTACAAGTTATCAATTCTGCTTCAAGTCAATAGCTGCTTGCAGTTATAATGGTAGAAAAAATGTTCACAATTAGCCTGATCCAAGGTAAGCACCAATGAAATCAAAACAAAAAACTAATGGCATCATTTTTTGGGTGTACATGCCACATTTAACTGATTTTGAGACTTGAGGATGGAAATGTAACTAAAAGAACCTCGATTGAGCTTCGTAAAATTTTGCCACTTTAACTGAACACAAAAATCTACTGTGAGATTTTTTGATGAAGAAATGTGCAAATTTATGTCCATGACTATACTTCTGATGAAAACCCGATAATAGATATGATAGAGTGATGATCATAGTAGTATGGAAGCACTCCATTGTCATTATTTAACTGTAGGAATGAGGACCAGGGGTTGCTCCTTCTGCTGTGATACAGCAAACTTCTCATTATTGTCTAGCTCATTGGGGTCATTTCCATGTGGAAGAGACCAATGAAAAGAATGAAGCAATGAAGCAAGAACGAAAGAAACTTGCTTTGCTGCCATGGGAAGACCAGGGCAGATTCTTCTTCCCGCACCAAAGGGTAAGAATTCAAATTTGTTCCCTTTGAAATCCAAAGTCACTTTGAGGAATCGCTCTGGTTTAAATTTCAATGGCTCTTCCCAAATCATGGGGTCTCGCCCAATTGCCCAAACATTTACTACCACTTGAGAAGTTTTAGGGATGCTGCAATTCATCACTTTGCACGAGTCAGGTGCACGGTGAGGAAGCAGCAATGGTGCAGGAGGAAGCAATCTTAGAGTTTCTTTTACACGGGATTGAAGGTAAGGTAGGTGAGGTAGATGGGATTCTTTCAGCGCATGTTGGATGTTTCCTCTGCCTTTGATACTCTGTAACATCCTTTGATTTCTTGATAGTGGATTTTGATTTAATCTCCTCTGTGAACAATAGGCACATTTCTAGACCATGTAAATTGTAATGTTACCGATTCCCTATTTTCTATTTCTGGAATTTATTTGATTTTCTGAATTATTTTAATCCTTATCTTGTTTTGCGTGCCACGCGGGCCCCAAGGGCCGTTTTTGGTCATTTTCTTGAGTTGAGGGTTTTAGAAGTGTAATTTCAATCATTTTTAGTCAATTAGAAGTGACGGTATCATTTTTAGAATTTTTCAGGTGTCGGGATGATTTTCGGACTCGGGAATTTCTCCCGGTTTTGTCATTTTAAGAAAGGGGGATAATGGACTTTTGTCACATATATGTATACATCTATATCTATATATTGAGGTTGATATTTATGGGGAAAATGAGGCAATGTATGGTTTGAAGGAGGGCAAGATTGTAACTTTGCACAAAATTAGAGATCAACCACAAGTTGACACGTGGCAATCCAATGACCATAATTTGAGATTTTTATCAAGTCATCACTTTCCTCCGCCCCCATTTTCGTGCATCACTCTCCTCTCTCTAACACTTTTCTATCTCTTTCTATATTCATACACAAGCACACATTATTATCATCTAAATAAAAGGCTTTGATTTGGAGAGTTTAAGGTGGATTTTGAAGGAGAGGAAGAAGGGAGGTTGGAGAGTTTGGCATGAGCTTCAAATTGAGGCTAATATTGCTAGGGTTTGGAGAATTTTGAAATTTGGGGCTTTTCTTCCATTTGAGGTAGAGTTTATCTAATTGTCAAATTCCTTAATTGTGGTAGCTAATTGGATGTTTTTCCTCCTCTTTAACTTGTCAATTTGATGTTAAAATGCATGATTTAATTTTAGGGTTTTTGGTTTGTACATGAATTTGTGATTTGAGGTGTTTTAAGTGATTGGGTGTTTATCTTGTGTTTAAATTGCAAGTGACATGTTGTTGAGCTTCTATAAAATGATTTATTTATTTCACCTTATGTGGTTGTTGCGATGTTTTTGATAATGTATATGCTAGAGAATACTTGAATGTTGTAATATGCAAAAAGTGTCAAATTATCTTGTTGAGGCCCTAGAAATATCAATCGCATTATGAAGGCATGATAATAATTACGTAATTGAATTTGGACAATTTTATATGCATGGCATAATGTTGTTCTTGGGTATGAGGGTGGTGTGGATGTAGTGGAGGGGCATGTGAGGGCATGGATGTGGTGGATGGGTGTATTGAGCATTTTATACAATTTATTGCATATGAACATAAACGATGGTTATGGAAATTGGAAGTGTTAAATGTGAACCCTTGTATGATCCCCGATTCGTTTTCCTATTCATTGTTTGTAAGGCATGTAATTACTTACCTTGCTTGAGGAGATGCTACTTAGGCATTCTCCACTGAGCCGTGCGCTCACTCCTCTATTTATTACTATTTTTCAGGACACGGAAAAGAAATAGCGGACGACAATCCACCCTTGCCTTAGCTTGGAGTAGAAAAATGTTTCTTTTTGCTATCTTTTGTAATTGGGCCAAATTTTGTAAAAGTGATGACTTAAAATGTATTATTTTGTAGCATGTGATGTATTTAGGTCCATTTTGTGTATGGCCATTGGGGAAATGTAATTATGTTTTAATCACACTAAATCCTTTAGTGTATTTTTTTTTGTAACGTGTTATAAATTACGTTATCAATGTGGTTGTTGTTATTATATTAGGTGTTGGAATGTATTTTAATATGTATGTGATGTTTCCAATTTTTCACATTTTTCATTTTTTCGGAATTTCATCGCCGCGAGGATATTTCTGTCTTTCCACGTTTTTCGTACGGAATTTTAGTTGAGTCCATTTGCATTTCATACATTTTATTTTATGTAGCATTCCTATGGTGGTGCATTATATATTTTATTGTAGGGTTGAGTTGCAAATAAAAGAAAAAGGAAAAGTCAAACTTGGTGGTGAGACCCACCACTCATGTTTTTAGTGGTCTAGAGACCACACATGGCCTTACATTCTCTCTCCCCACTAGTTTCTCTCTCACTCTCTCAAACTCCAAAATTTTCTTCTTCTTTTACTTCAATCTTTAAAGCTTGATAACCTTCTCATTACTTGGAATTTTGGTGTGCCGTTTGAGGCAAAACGGAGAGCACGACGAGCTCTATGCGTGAGTACCAACAATTTCAGCTTTGGGCCTCCATAGGGTTTACGAAATTTGGAAACCATTTTGAGGGTTTTGCACAAACTTGAGGTAGGGGCTTTCTAATCCGCATATTCTTGCACTTTTGTGAGTCAAATTACTTGAATGGTGACTTAACATGCTTATTTGTGCTAATTGTAGTTTAAAATGATTTAATTGTGTATATGTGGTTATGTGAGGACATGTATTAAATGTATTATGTGGAAAACATGCTTATATGATGAATTTCTATGCTTATTATGTTGTTTATATACTATGAATGATGGATGAAGGCATGCTTCGTTGTGTTATGTGAAAATCCCTTATTGTTAAAGCATTAAAAGTATGAGACATGCATGTAAGTCATTGGGTTTCATGATGGGTAATGTTTTGGATAAAGTAAAAAGGGGATTTTCAGGAGAAAATTGTTTTGAATCGGTTTTGAGAAAACCCGGTCACCGCGGGGGTACCAAAGGGCTGGAGTGTTAATATAGCCTAGAGGGAACTAGGGAGTCGCCCTAGCGTGATTGAGCTAGCTGGGCCCCATAATGATGCCGCGGGGGTACCAATGGTCAGGGACACTAGTCAATCCTTCTCTCGTGTCGCTGCGGGGTCACTAAAGGGCAGGTTATATTAACAGTTTGAAAGTGATGATTTTAAATGTGAAAAAAAAAATGGGGAGCGACATAGGCATGCATTGCATCCCCATTGCATCATATTATTTATGTTGAGATTGGAAACTATGTTGTAAATTCCCGACATTGTATGACCCAGTTTTCCATGGTTCTATTCTTTGTTTTGGATTCATGGGGATTCAAGAGGTGCGTCTTAGGCGCCACTTACTGAGCAAATTGCTCACCCCACCATATTTAAATTCTTTTCAGGTCACGGCAAGGAGTTGGCGGATGATAATCCACCTCATGCTTGAGAGCACCTAGGAAGCATTTTGGATGTATTTTTGTAGAGCTTGAACTTATTTTGTAAAGATGTATTACTTTTGCAACATCTAAAATATTTGGATTTATTATGTACATGGCCAGTGGGGTAATTTAGTGTACCAACATTTAATCCTTTTGTGTATTTAAGTGACGCGTGGCAAATTATGTTAACAACGTGGTTGTTGTTATTATATTAAGTGTTAAAATGTATTTAAATTTGTACGTGAGTGTAATGGCGTGGGTGGTTAATTACCAAATGTTGGTGTATATTGGTTCTCATTGGACAGTGGGGAGTTGAGTGAGGAATTACCCAGAACCAGTCGACATATAGTTCTATATGTCGACTGAATGATTTGAACCAGTCGACGTGTAGCATCCCACACGTCGATCGGAATCCTGACAGTGAGTCTTTTTACTGTACATGTTCCAAACCAGTCGACGTGTAGCTTCCCACACGTCGACCGGTGTGATACCCCTCGGATCCGAGACATGGGTTGATCAGGCCCAAGCCCAAGCCCAAACCTGAGGGAATATCAAACAATTAATATGTAATACGAACACAGATGACAAAATAAATTTAAGAAATAAAGTTTAAGCTGAAAGAAACTAAAATAAAATCCTTAAATATAAAAGATTAATTAATCCAACTCCAAAACCTCCAAAGGTACAACTTGGGAATCCATCTCTAGTGGACCCCTAATAAAAGTCCCAAACTGAACGAAAACAAATAACTGAAGATACAATCCAAATCTAATATCTGGAAAGAAGGGTAGAATGGAAGATCATCTCTGCTTAGTCCGAACAAGTCCTACAACTGGAACCGTCTGATACATGAAAAATGATAAGTGGGTCAGGCCCACTAGCAAGTTCTATACTATTACAACCCAAGCAGAGACCCGATATGCATTTACATCCTAACCAATCCAACAATAACTAAATAGTCCGTAAATATATATATATATATATATATATATATATATATATATATATATATATATATATATATATATATATTCACACTAAAGGACTCTCACTGGCCTACAGGCCGGTCTCAACCTGAGTAGAGGTAACATGCTAAAACACACACAAAGTGGGCATGTGTACCTAACCTAAACAGGGTACACCTCCACCAATCGTAGCCAGCTATGCATCCCAATGCATATACGCTCCCTAACCAATGACTCTGAGACTCAGGCTCATATCGTGGCACTATAAAAATATATTTAAAATCCGTTCCAAACCAAAAGTGTCACTCAACCATTTAGTGACCTGACACAAAATACAGGTAGGAGTAACTTTTATAATTAATCCATCTTTTAATCCAGTGTAGGTAGGACTTAGCTAATCCCCTTAGTATGACACCGTCCTATACCGGTGCATACAATCCATCCATCCAGTGTTGTCAATATAAACGACAGTAAATACCAGCATATCCAGTCTGAGCACAACAAGAATGTTTAAATAGCATGCTTGTTTAATACATCTAGTATATGATTCTCTAACGAATTTTAAAGTCCAGAGAATAAATATAATCATCCAACAACCCACAATAAGCATAATAACATTAGAATTAAATGCTTACTGTAACTATCACAATATCCGTAAGTTGATATAAACACCAATTTGTAATCATCCACTAACTTCTTATTAAGCACAACAGAAATTATTATTTGACATGCTTAATCTCGCCACTGTTATATGATATAAATATAAAAATTCCAAGTTAAAATTGCTAATTCAAAACTAAGCAATTTTGATCATCCCCATCAAAGTAAACCTGAAAACTTCCCTAAGAGTTTCAGACTGTATCCCTATTTTAGCCTCTTATGATAATTTATGAATTTTCATGCCTTCTGCAAATTTACCGAGAGTTTATACATCACTAATTTCCCCTAGAACCACTTCCAATACATTCTGGAAACTTCAAATATCCATGTACAGTAGCCTAGGTTCGCAGAGAACAAAATAAAATTAAAAACTGAATTTTTTTTTTGGAGGAACCGGCTCCACACAAGGTGTAGCCGCCTCCAATGATGGTGGAGCCACCTCCACTGATTCCTAGAGCCGGCTCCACTCAAGGTGGAGCCTGCTCTGCGTTTTGGTGCACCTGTTCCTCCTCTCTGCGTCGTCTCCTTCCACTCCGACAGTATTAGACTGCTTTGTTCCACCAAGCCAACCTCTTTACTAGTTAAAACTAAGTCCCAAGGTGCTCTTAAGTTATTTAAATACATTACTTGTTAATCAAATTCATTCCAGAACAAGAACAAGCAAAAACAGTTTCATAACGAATAGATTACACATACCAAAACACATACAGTTTTTAAAACCAATTAACGTGGAAATTAAGTTAAACCAAATTAATTTAAGTTTATTTCATCCTGAGATTGAATTAGAGATGTAAAGAACACAAGCCAAAGGGATTGAGTTAGGTATAAAACTTGCCCTTCACCGACGGTTCTTCCCAAGTTCTCCTGTAAAACTCTCTGTTTGCTCTCTCCCTCTCTGTTTCCTCTATGCCTCCACAGAAAACCTACGGTTTTATTTTATTTTTTCCTTAAACCCTAAACCACCGTATAAGCCTATTTATAACCTTAAACTTTAAACCCTAATCCATGTATAATTCGGCCCATAGGTAAACCTAGGTTAAAATCATGTCGGCTACTTATGTGTATACCAAATATGCAACTAACCCTACTGTAACGTGAAGTTAGAAAACACTTATCTTTAATTAAATAATTTCATACCATTTATATAAAACAATTAAAATTAAAACACCAAGTAATTTAAACCATACATCACAAATAAATCAAATAAAGCAAATAAAACAATTAATGAAATAAAACAATTAAATAATGCAATTAAATAATTAATGAAATTCCAGGACTATCCTTTGTAAATTTAGGGGTATTACATTCTTCCCCCCTAACAAAAGGAATTCCGTCCTCGGAATTCGCTCTTACCTTTTTTCAATATTTCAGGAAACTGCGAGTGAATGACATCCTCCCGTTCCTAAGTGGACTTAGCCTCATTGTGATGACTCCACTGAACACGCAACAAAGGAATCACCTTATTACGATGGATCTGATCCCGACGATCGACAATACGACACGGTGGCTCCAAATAAGTTACATCCGGCTGTAACTCAATCTCTCCAACATTGATATGCTGATACCAATCCTCATCTCGCAGAAATTTCCGCAACATGGAAACATGGAACACATTGTACACGAGATCCAAATGATCCGGAAGTGCCAACCGATAAGCGACGGCTCCAACTCGATCCGTAATCATGAATGGACCGACAAATCGCGGTGACAACTTCCCTTTCTTCCTAAAGCGCATGACTCCTTTCATAGGAGACACTTTGAGTAGAACCTGATCCTCAACCTGAAACTCCAAAGCTCGTGTGTGACGATCATCATAGCTCTTCTGCCTACTTTGGGCAGTACGCATGCGATCTTGAATAAGAGCAATCTTCTCTAAAGTATCCTTGATGAACTCAGGACCCAATAATCTGCTCTCGCCAACCTTCATCCAACAAAC